AGCTTAATATCAATCTGAATCATCTGTAAAAACACAGGATTAAAGGGAAACTATAGTGGCCAGGAAAGCGAACTATAGCTCCCCCCTCTCTCGCGGCCTCTCCCGTGGTGGGGAAGGGGTTAAAAAAAACTCTGTCACTTACCTTAGTCCAGCGCTATCCCTCGGCTCTGGCTAGGGTCCACTTTCACTCCTTCCCCGCTGATGTCAGCCGGTGGTGACCTATTGCGCATGCACGACAATGGCCTCCCTCGCATTAGGATTTCCCCATAAGGAAGCATTATACAATGCTTTTCTATGGGAATTCGACTGATGCTGGAAGACCTCATGCAAAGCACTAGTGGCTGTTCGGTAGACAGCCACTAAAGGTGGAGTCAACCCTGAAAGCTAATTATTGCAGTTTATGAAAAACCTTTGCAGGGTTACGGGACCTGGGACAGTGCACCCAGACCACTTCAATGAGCTGAAGTGGTCTGGATGCCTATAGTGTCCCCTTAAATCAGTGAAAGAGGGAATGGTAAAGGCACCTCTAGTTCTAAGCTAGTATGGACAACCGTTTGGCAATCTATCTTATTTGGACCCTAGGGTTGTCAGATCACCAGCAGGTTACTTACAAAACTGAGAATTACATAGGTGTCTCAAATAGTTGGACATTGGAATAAAAATGTCTAAAGCGCAGCTCAGCGAATGCTGAATTTGCTGTACTTTGAAATCAGGAGCGGCATGAGCAATTTTAATAAACTAACGAAAATCCACACTACCCACACAGCTTACTAGACCAAAACCTGGCAGTATGCAGTATTGTCTTTTTTTGTCTGTTACATTTTAAAGTCTTGTCGGGCCCCAAGAGTGCTAGCGTTTGATTGCTTCTTGGAAGGATCGGCACAGTAAAGCAGCTTGGGCTTTCAGATATGTAACTTATTTGCATCTATACTGTCTGCAAGAAGAGATGCAGCTGAGATAGAAAAGAAAGTAATTTATTGTTTTATGGACAATTTTATTAACCTTATGTGGAATGTTCTTCAGGATAATTTCCTTTTAAAAACACATCACCTTTAACCTATGTACCTGTACTGCAATGCCTCCCGCACTATTCATTCTTGCATTCCGTAGCAAGTCTCATAGTGGATCTGCATAGTTTTACAGTGATTGTTGTGTTTCTTAACATGTCATGACTCATGTAATTTGCACACTACTTTTCCAGAATTCATTTGCAATTTCCTGTTATAATTCTGTATAAATATTTCCCGTTTTCAGGCACTTGTTTCTTTGTTGTTTTGAAGCTGCCCAACCCATAAACCCAGAACACCATAACCACTGCTAAGAGTTGTAGTGGTTATGGTGCTTAGAGTATACTTTTCAAAAATATTATGCACAGTACTAGGAGATCCAGGTTGTGAATTTTCAGGGGATTTGAGCATCTTGGTTGCTGAACATAGAAGGCGAGAAACGGAAGCGATTAGAATTAATAATTAAAGCATCGATATTAGAAATATTTCCTAGGTAATAATCGCTAGAAACAAAACCTTTTTGTAGATTCATGGTATTAAAGCATGCACCATACAGAATATTGCATCACATACTCAAATACATAACTCAGCACATATTCTAGAATACAATTTATTCAAATACATTCAATTTACTGCAATAATAAAGCATTTATTTGTCAAGGCATCAATATCGAGCAACAGGCAAATTATTCTGGATTTATTGTGTGATCTCTCAACTTTATTAGATCGTATTGATTTGTTGAAAAATGTAGACAGTCATTACAGGCAGAGACAGCTCGGAATTGATTTTATTTCGTGCTATAAGACAATGACGGTGAATTTTTAGCACTCTAGCTGTTGTGTTCTCTGTCTTGGGAAACGCAGTCTGCATCAGCCATATGATAGCTTAGCCATAGTTTTGTGAAGGCAGTAATGCCATAATTGAACCAGAAATAACAATACTGTCTAACTGAACTCAGCGTGTTGGAGTCTGCATGTTACTTATATCTTGAGATCTTTGTGGACTAAGCCAATATTTTATTTAATATCTATTATGGATTATGGTTTATTAATGGAATAACGGAATTCATTTACGTCGGATACAGGATACATCAGAGTTTTACAGTGTTGATCTATGGTAGGCAACGTTCGGCACTCCAGATATTGTGAACTACTACTCCTATAATGCTGTTACAGCCATAATGCTGGCAAAGTATCAGGGGAGATGTAGTCCACAACCAGTGGTGTATTTTGGTTTTGTGCTGCCCTAGGCATGACTAAACCTGGGCACCCCCTAATCTAAATTTGCCCTACCCCACCTCTTCCTGATTAAGAACCCACCCCTTCCTCTTTAGACTCCACCTTTTCCTACTCCTTTTAAAGGGATGCTATAGTGCCAGGAAAGTTTTCCTGGCACTATAGTTCCCTATAGTGCCCCCCTCCCTCGTGCTCTCCCCCCTTACTCGGCACTGAAGGGGTTAAAACTTCTTCAGTGACTTACCTGAATCCAGCGCTGGGTCAGGCTCCTCCTCCGCGCTTGCATTACGCTTCCCCCATAGGAAAGCACTGTATCAGTTCTTTCCTTTGGGGATTTAGCAGATGCTGAATGTCCTCATACACAGAGTGAGGACGTCCCACATCAGTTAGGCGACTTTTGGTCGCCTAACCACCCGGGAAGGAGTAAACCCCTCAAGGTAATGATTGCAGTTTCTAGGAAACTTGGGACACTGTACCCAGACCACTTCAATGAGCTGAAGCGATCTGGATGCCTGTAGGGTTCATTTAAGCACACGCTCTGACAGGCACACACACAGTCACTGACAGACACACACTGACAGTCACACACAAACACTCAATGACAAACACACAGACCTCATTGATAGACACAGACTCGCTAATTTGACACACACACATTCCCCAACAGACACACACTGGCAGATATGCATTGACGGTCATACACACATGCACACTGACAGACACACAAACACTGAGATACTCATTGAAAGACACACACTGATATTCACACGTAGACACAATGACAAACTGACTGTCACTGATTTGATAGACACTCACAAACACACACACACTCATACACACACACACACACACACATTCACAGACAGACACACACTCACATACACTCATACACTCCTATGCACACACATACATGCACACACACACACAGACACACAGACCCACACATACATTCACACACAGACACACGCACACACACACATTCACACACATACACACAGACACATTTATACACATACAGACACACACACACACACACAGACTAATTATTAATATCATTATAATACTTTAACGTTTTTTGTACCCAGCCTTCCTACCTGTTGTTGGGGGTCCAGTGGGGCATGTGTAAGGTGGGCGGCTGTGTTAGAATCAGAGGCGGCTAAGGAGCTGTGATCTCCCTGCTCTGCTCCCTTGCACCTTGCGAGCCGTCTACTGATGCCGGGAGCCGCAATGATGCCATATTTCGGCTATCACGGCATCAGCACATGGCGCGAGGGAGCAGAGCAGGGGGAATCACAGCTCCCTCGCCGCCTCTAACACCCGTGCTTTAAGTCCCCTGTGAT